TGATTCTGTTGATCGTGTGTTGTTCCTGTTTTGTCTCCTGATACTTATATGTACGTAGCGGGGAATGTGGTGCAACTAAGAGTAAGGAGACTACCCCTATTCTCCCCCCAATAATGACAAACAACGAATATTGGATGAAACAGGCCACAGCATTTATTAAACTTAGAACTCTAGGACTCATCCGAACTTTATTATTTTCCTTTAATTCAAATATACACACATAAATATATATACATACCATAATTAAAATATAAATTACACTTATTGCCCTACAGCCTCCAACTTGAATAACCGTCCTTGCCAACGAACTTAACCAGGTGCCTATGCACCAAAACTTTACCCACTGGTGTCTCACCTCCCCCCTCGTCCAAACCAAAAATTCCCATCATCTTAAATGCTTTACCACCAGCCGGCTTTTTGCTCAGTGGGCAAGTCCTATTCGGTAACTTAAAAGTTTACCTTACAGAGCAGGGGAGGTTGAGACCCACCATATCCATCTCCTGACATTCCATTTGCTCACCAACCCTGTTGGCAAGGACATGCTCCCCACCACAAACCCCGCAATTTTGCTTCATACGGCAGCGTACCATGCACTGATTATGGGCCCGCTGCCAAAAGATAGGTTATTTATTGATTTTTTTTTTCTTTGCATTTTTTTTTTTTTTTCTTTTTTCTTTTTTAGAACTGCTTTTGTTATAACATACGACAAGTCCTGTATAACACATCCAGAACTTATTATACTAATCTCTTTAATTATAATCTCTCTTCTTTTCTGAAACCAAAATGTTAAACATGAATAACCATAACTATAACCATAACACACAGGGTCATACAGTGAACCCAACACCACGCATCACAAAAAACAACTAAAACACGCACCAATACCCTCTTAGGGGCAGACGTCAAACACCACCTTGGTATCGTCCCAAGCTCAATGCCCCCAGGTGGATAACCCAAACATTAGGCGGGACAGCTGAACCTGCTTCGGGAGGAGCCGAACACATTTCATACCTCCGGCACCAAACCAACGAAACTCTGCTTCAGAAGGCGCACAACCCAATAGCTCACCTCCCAGACAGACACCCGCATGCCACCTAGGAGTATAACCAGAAAAAAGACATCCAGATATTTTCTGTTTTCCAAGTGTACCCTGGGAATTGTTACTTGTACCCAATGAACTGGTACTCATTTATCTATCTCAAAGGAATGAATGGATGAGCCACCGTCGCTGAGAATTGAACCCTCAAGCCCCCAAGGATTGAACAAATTCCACAAAACCAGCATTACTTCACAGAAACATCTCACCAGACCCCCTCCCAGTTCTTTGCGCCATGTGGGCTGACATACCCATCCTAAAAGCCTCCAAGGCAGCGCTAAACCGTAAAGAATGCCACAAGATTCCTTGCTGACTGTGGCAAAACTAGCCACTTATTATTATTGTATTAATGTGTTGCTGTAGCTTTAAGAATGTTAGAATCAAGCGTATACCTAATTCTTTATTTTGTGTGAACAAGGACATTCGTATGCTGGTGGCACGAAAGCCACCAGCATTCATACAGTAGTTTCACGAACAGTGAATTTCAACACTGTTTGTGAAACGAACAAACTACCGAATGGGAGACCACACACAGGAGGTCGTGTGGCTCCCATTAAACATTGCAACATTGTATCTTTCGGTAGTTATTAAAGATTCAGGGTGGCCGCCGTTCGACTACCGACCACGCGACAGTCGGCCATCTTGGATCCTTTGTTAGCCCAGCGGTATTTTGTCATTGAATGCCTGGAAATAAAATCGGCTACTCGACGGCACGAATACCGCTGGACTTCCAGGCCATTCGGGAGTACCGGTCTTTCGGTATTTGCTCCCTACGAGTGTATTCGTGTAATTTATGCGAAGTATATATTGGATTGAAATTCATGCAGCGTTCAGCTAGATGTGCTGGGATCTGAGCGGTATTTGCCGAACGGTCATTCTACCGAACGGTCATTCGGTAATATAGCATGAATAATGTTAAAGTTGTATATTTTTATGTGAAATGCCAGTTCTGCTGCACGGAGGAATAATCCACTTAACTGTATATTCTAGTGGGAGTATCCATCTCGTGCAGCAGTGCATGATGGGAGAAAGGTCTTGGTTGTTAAGTTCCCCATGTAGTCCCCTACTGTACAACCCCTGTAAAGTCAGTAAGGAAACCCCTTGCATGGGGAATCACATAAATACTGTGACCTGTGATTAAAACCTCAGTTGACTCCCAGCCTATGTGTCGTCTAGTTCTTGGGAAGGAAGGATTTATTTAACGCTACCGGGATTATTGTATGCTGTACTTATTTTGCCTGGATTATTGTAAACTGTTCCTGTTCCCAGCGGAGATATTGTGGATGATACTACCTCTCCACTACACTGACAATCCCCAGAACCATCAGACTTGAGCGACAGACACAAAGAATTGGGAATGGGAAAGATCCCATCCGCATAACCCAAAAGAGGGCCTATGCATGCTGGGCGCAGCTCACAGTTCTCCACAAAGGAAAAGTGCAAACAATACCCCACCACCGCATTGCCTACTAGGAATCACCAATACCCCAACATGCACGGCCCACAGGAGCATAGCGTCCAGGTGGCCTTGGAAATCGATCCATGGTCCCATTCCGTCACTCTGCCAGACAAAACGACCAGATGTCCGCCGGGCAAGGCGACCCCTCCAGATCCGTCTGCGAGGCGATTTCCCCTTAAGCAAGCGAACCACCAGAGGGAAGGAGGCTGTCAGCCGAGTAATGGCCTGAACAACCCCCAAATTGTCGCAGTGAAACACTACCCTTAGATCCTGAAAATGTGACCGCCAGACCTCCCCCACCACCAAAATGGGAAAAAGCTCCAAAAAGGCCAGATTCTTTGTGAGCCCAGAGAGATGCCAACTGGAGCACACCAACTAGAGCCCAGAATGGCCCCAAACCCCACCGCACCAGCCGCGTCCGTAAATAGGTGGAGGTTGGCGGTAGAAACCTCCGGCATTTGCCATCAGGACCCGCCATGATATGCAGCCAAGAAGCAGTCCCAAACTGCCAAAATCTTCCGCAGCGGCCGAGTGAGACGAATGAAATGGCGAGGCCTGGAGACCCCAGCCATCGCCGTAGCCAGACGGCAGTTAAAGACCCGCCCCACAGGCATGATCCAACAAGCAAAATTCAGCTCACCCAGGAGCGACTGCAGGCAGCGCAGCTGAATCTCGCGCTGCCCCCTCGCGCCGCCAGCCTTGAATCTTATCCAAAGGCAAGCGGCATTCTCCCGCCAAAGAGTCAATCTCAATGCCCAGAAAGCTGAGACAAGTGACCGGCCCACTGTCTTGCCGTGTGCCAACGGGACCCCAAACTTATGGAACACCTCACCCAGAACCCGTTTCAGCAGCGCACAGGCTGGCAAATCGGCACGACCCACACAAATGAAATCATCGAGGTAGTGTAGCAAGGAGTCTATCCCAGCCTCCTTCCTCTCCACCCAGTCCAAGAACGTGCTGAAGCATGCAAAGTAATAACAGAATATGGAACTACCCATACGGAGGCACATATCCATGTAATACATACCTTCAAAAACACAGCCCAGAAGATGGTGACATTCCAGGTGCACCGGCAGTAGACGGAAGGCCGAATCCACATCAGCCTTGGCCAATAAGGCCCCAGGGCCCATGGCCCTGACCGTGTCAACCGTCACGTCAAATGATGCATAAGATACTCGGCAGAGTTCCCAAGAGATGTCGTCATTCACCAACATCCCTCGGGGGTACGATAAATGGTGAATCAGACAGTATTTGTTCAAAACCCATGCGCAACCCATCCAGTAGGATGCCAGCCGCCCTACGATTCCTATAGCTGGCAAGACAAGGGCACATCGCTCTCATGATCACTGGCGCCATCGCCCTCTGACCCCAAATCCCCTAACTCGCCAACTTTACCCCGCTTGAAGCAGTGGGAGGCGGGATGGGCTTCCCCAAAAGTGGAACATTCGTGCTTGAAACGGCAAGATGCCCCACATTTGCAGTGACTGTTGTTGAATTTCAACAACAGCCCGGCCTCTGATGTGCGGCTGGTGAGGAGGAGGACCCCCCACTGCACCCCACCCCCGAGAGAGGACGAGAACCCACCCTGCTGGGGGGCCATGCAGGTCATAATTAAGAGCCAGAGGCAAATGTCAATATTTTCCCACGAAATTGAGGGGCGCACCGCCAACCGTTGACGGAACTGCTCGTCATATTTTCACCACCCCAGACTGCCATAGGTACGACAAGCGTTCCAAATGGCATCCTGGTAGCAGAACAATGCGGAGCACTTCTGCAGAGGCCTTACCCCAATTACACTGGCCAAGATTGCAAACGCAAAAATGCAATTACCGCAAGTCTTAGGGATCTTCCGATACCGGTATTTCTCCTTGTCTTTTTCGGATTCCTACCCATCCTTTTCCAGTAAAGGAGGAGCCTCCTCCATGGGAAGGAGGGAAAAATCTCACCAAAGTCTCCCCTTAAATGTTTTCACGAACCTCCTGTTGTAGGTGCAAGCCCAAGGGCCCTGACCAACACATAGGCGGACCCACGCGAAACATCAGCAACACCCGGGGGGGGTCACCTAACGCTAGGGACCCCCCCAGCATCAGCAGGGGTGCCAGCATGTCCACCAACTCTAGGAGAGGGTAACCCTGTGAGCCCAGAAACAGTCAAAAACCCCTGTGGCTGCAGCGCCGAGGACCACACTAACCGGAGCTGACCATCTAATGCACCCTTGCTTCCTTTATTTTATTTATTTATTTATTATTATTATAGATATATATATATATATATATATATATATATATTTATTTTTATTTTTTTGGACTGATCAAGAAAACCCATAAGTCCTGACAGAAAACCCCCTCAGCAAGGAACCCCCAGACTGAAAAGAAGAAACATTAGTGAACTCACCAGCCGATGCCCGAGGAATCTCCCGCGACAAAGGAAATGAAGACGATCCAGGCAGGACAGAGTTAACGTCATTTTCAGCACTGCTCAGCCCAGCAGCAGTACCAGGCGCCATCTGCTGGACGGTCCCAGGAACAGCAGCCCCTGCAGCCAGATCCTATGAGAAGAGCCGTGGAGCTCACACCCCACAGAGGAGGGCAGCCGAGGTAGGTACCCGGGGGGGGCATAGGGAGAAGAGAGAGGCGGGGAGGGAGGGAGGAAGACAGAGAGAGAGCTTAGAGAGAGGAAGGGTACACAGACCAGCAGGAAAAGAGGGTAGGAGGGAGGGAGATAGAGAGAGAGCACAGAGAGAGGAAGGGGACACAGACCAGCAGGAACAGGGGAGGGGGGTAAACACCAGGGGAGGGGGGGATTCCAGAGGGAGAGAGGACAAGGGATGGCATCATGGGGGGGAGGGAGGAATTGCTGACAGAACCCGGGGGAGGAGAGGGGACCCCCCCGGCCGAACCTCATCCCCAGAGGAGCCATCAGAGCCCAGGTGGGACCCACCTCCATTCCCCAACAGCAGCACAGCCGTGCCCCGCGTGGCCCTGAGGGGCCCACTCACTACTACCGGCCCTGTTCTGGATCCACCGTGCACTAACCACGTGGGGGCTGGAAAGGCCTCCCAGACCCCCCAGGATGCAAAGTAGACCTTCTGGCACCCCTGGCCCGCCGTCCAAGGCCAGGGGGTGCGCAGGAGGCGGCAGTAGTAGCAGCTACATCTGACACGCAGGCCTGGTGGTGCCTTGGGCCCGGGCTCTGGCTCCTATACCAGGCCCGAGGTGAGGCATCAGGGGTCAAGCGAGCAGGCGGGCGGGAGCGCCGGCCCATGCTCCTGTGGCCTACAGGGAGCTGTAGCTGCGTGGGAGGCCCAGGAGAGGCCTGACCGTGGGGGAGTGAACCCACACCGGCGGCCAGGCCAGGTTGGAGGGGAGCATATTGCTCCTGAAGGTGCCTACCACCATCCAGGGCAGCAGCAGCTCTGAGGGCAGCAGGATTGAATCCACATCCATCCCTCAAGCAGGTAAAGTATGCAGGCCCAGAACAAACAGGAGCGCAGAGGCAGGGAAGTTGTTTGCTGGCCAGAACCCCAAAAGGCACTGAGGTAAGATGATCCCTGCCCCACTACAAACCCATAACCACTCCCCTAAAACATATAGCCAATCACTAACACCATCCCCACACTCATACATGTGCCTTTGTCCGTTTAGCTGTGCCGACTCCCCAGGGCCTTGTTCTCCAGATTGACCCCGGATCCTGACCTTGGCTTTCCTCCTTGGAAAGGAGGAGGGGGTAAGAAGAACACAGGGAGGAGGTGGGTAAGAAGAATACAGGGAGGAGGGGGGAGTAAGAAGAACACAGAGAGGAGGGTTGAGAGTAAGGGTGAGGAGAAGGGGAGATAAGGAGAACAGCGGAGGACCGAGAAGAACACAGGGTGGGTGGTGAGGAGAACACAAGGAGGGGGAGCTGAGGAGGACAAAGGGAGGAGGGGGTAAGAAGAACACAGGGAGGGGAGTGAGGAGAAGGGGAGATGAGGAGAACACAGGGAAGGGGGAGGTGAGAAGAACACGGGGGGGGAGGTGAGAAGAACATGGGGGGAATGAGGAGAACACATGGACAGGGGAGTGAGAAGAACAGGGGGTAAGAAGAACAGGGGGGTAAGAAGAACAGGTGGGGGAGTAAGAAGAACAGAGGGGGGAGTAAAAAGAACAGGGGGGAGTAAGGAGAACACAGGGAGGAGAGGGAGAATAAGAAGAACATGGGGGGAGAGTAAGAAAACACAGGGAGGGGGAGAGTATGGGTGAGGAGAAGGGGAGATGAGGGGAACAGTGGGGTGACTGAGAAGAACACATGGAGGGTGGGTGGTGAGGAGAACACAGGGTGGTGAGGAGAACACAGGGAAGAGGGGTGATAAGAAGAACACAGGAAGGGGGTGAGGAGAAGGAGAGATGAGGAGAACACAGGTAGGGGGGAGTGAGAAGAACACAGGGGGAGTGAGTGAGGAGAACACATGGAGGGTGGAGGGGGATGAGAAGAGCACAGGAAGGGTGGGTGAGTGTGAGAAGAGACCGCTAGGGGAGGGTGGGGGAGAGGGGAGTGCTCTAAGGGACAGAAGGGAAAGCTCTATAGGACAGGGGGCAAGACAGGGAGCTCTTTCACACTACGCGCACACACACACACAATGCATCCCTATACATACACAGAAACACACAATGCATCCATACACACACAGAAACACAACATGCTTCCCTTACACACAGAGAAACACACAATGCATCCATTACACACATACAATGCAACCCTTACACACAAAGACAAGGCATCCTTTGCATACATACACAGAAACACACACATGCAAACACACAGTGCTTTTCTTACATACACACAAAAACACAATCCTTCCCTTACACACAACCAAAAACACACAATACATCCCTTAAACACAAATACACACTGCTTCCACTACACACAAACACACTGCATCACCTACAAAAACTGGTATCCCTATACACTACATACCATAAGCACACATATTAGATCTTCTACAATAACACATAACACATCCCCTACTCACTCCACTCCCTGTGAGCAAACTCATGGGTGGGTGGAACATATAAGTGGATTTATGAGTGGGCCTTATGGGTATACTCACTGTCAGGACCTTGAGCTGTGTAAGGGGCCCCCAAAAAATGGAGCTGCTTCCCATTCTCCCAGAACATTGAGTTTTGTGACCACAGTTGCAAACAGCCTCCAGAGACCATGTCCCACACCAGACCAGTGGATCCAAACTGCAGCCCATCATCATCCTCATCTGGTTGTAAGTAGGCAATTTAGTATATTATTAGTGACACTAATCTATACTTTACCTCACATTAAAGGGACATTATAGTCCCCAGAACCACTTCAGCTTAATGAAGTGGTTCTGGTGTCTCTAGCCGGTCCCTGCAAGCTTTTTAATGTAAACACACACTGTTTGCAGCACTGGCGTTAGTTCATATGGCAGATCATATAAGTGGGGCATTGTGATGTCACATGGGGGGGCGGCAAATTTTTCTTTTGCCTAGGGCGGCAAAAATCCTTGCACCGGCTCTGATCCTGGGCAGGTGCACCAGTCTACTGGTGACCCACAGGAGGGGAGTGCACTGATTGCACAGCACTCTCCTCCTGCCCAGATCCATCTTTACCGCAGTGCAAGTGCCCTCTGCCCTTAATTTACAGTTGGTCACACTCACAGCAAGCAGTGCCTGGAGCCCTTTGCAGAGACGGGAACAAACAGGTTATGCGTCAGCTGGCCGTCCTGCAAGCATTACATTAATCAGCTCTTCCCCATGTAGCCACATGTGGCGCTGTGCTGGGAGAATGTGATTACTCTTCACTTCCTCCCAGCCTACAGAGCAGCGCATGGGAGAGAGAGAGGAGGAGGCATGATTTAATCTTACAACAAATCCAGTAAGCAAATCTTTATAAATTTGGGGGGATCAGCTCTGTTTCCACAGTTTATTGGTGTTTACTCTGATGTCTGTATTAATATTGAGGGATTTCTAAGTAGTAACATCAGTGTGTGTCAGCCGGGCCAGCTGTTGGGGTGTGCAAGCTGTGCGGTCATGCAAGGTGCCATGACAACAGAGGCGCCCGGAGGCCAACACAGCTCACAAGTTGGGGACACCAGCATATTCAATTTAAACGATTCACTGGTGGTCCACTGGTGCGCACCAGCAGTAGGTGCAGCCAGATTGTATCCTCTCCCTTGTGGTTCTGGCGCTCAGTTAGTGAGTCAGAGCACAGGCTCAGAGATTCTCAGCCTGCGCTCTGACAACATTGAAAGTCAGAGCCGTGAAGGAGCGGGTATGGCAAAGAGCTACTGATTAGCATAACATCAATATCCGTTATAAAACCAGGAAAAGGTGGGCATGGATGGTGAACTGATTTGGTGGTGCAATGGGCCACTTGACTGGTTTTGCCCCCCAGGCCTAAGGCTGCCAGCCCTCCCCTGGGCTAAGGACTTATTTGTGAACAAGTTCTTTATGTTTACATTATTAAAGTTTATTGGTCTAAGAGGTGTTTTTGTGTGTGTGTGTGTGTGTTTGTGTTGGGGCGGGGGGCGTAATTGCATGATAGGGAGTGAGAGGGTGGGATCGAGGGGGCCCAAGTAAATTTTTGCCCAGGGTCCAATCAGTATTAAATACAGCCCTGAGTTACACTAACAATAGACATCACCTAGTTACACTAACAATAGAGTTAATGGAAGCCAACATATATTTGCAAGCATTCAAAACCAACTCTTTAATTTTGTACAGCTATAACTTGAGATTATTAGCTGCATACGGTATCATTCAGAGTGCAGCAAAAAAAGCTGTAATAAAATTATACAGTTTTATACTTAACGTCCCAGGATCTTAGATGAGATGGAGATCAAGGTTTCTGCTGCTCTGGATAGATCAAACTTCATGTCCCAGGATAAAAAAAATACGGGCCTGTGCAGGGAATATCTGTTAAATGGTGAACTTATAACTTTAAGAATTATGGGCGTAAAAGCTGTGTTAAAATGGTCATATACTGTGTTAAAATGGTCATATTTCAAGGTGGTGTATCTCTCTCCCAAGGTCCAAGGGCCACCCATACAATAATCCAAAGGGGGAGAATCCGACGGACTCCTAGTGGACTTCCCTATACACAAACAACAGATGAGGTAGAAACCCAGTTTCGACAGGAGGCTGTGAAGGTACGTAGCATCAGTTTAAAGGTGCCGTTGAACCGTTCACAGAGTCTGTTCATCTTGGGATGATACGGAGAGCTTAATATGGGTTTAACCCTGCAGCTCTGCCAGAGATGTTGGTTAATGACGGACGTAAATTGTGTCCCCTGGTCAGATATGATTTCTCTAGGAAAGACCTTGGCTTCAGCTATGGTCTCGTTGTGAATGTTAGAGAGCACTACTGCTTCAAAATACCGAGTAGCATAGTCCAATGGTTAGAATGTATTTTTTTCCAGAGGAACTAGGCTTACTCAAGGGTCCCACTACTCGGTAAAAGGGATCCTCCACTATGTGAAGCGGTCTAAGCTTGGCTTTGGGTTGGCCTACCCATTGAAACACAGTGCAAGTGACTCCTGGCCAAAAGAACGTCTGACTCAGCCAGTACTTAGTCTTCCATATGGCTAAGTGGCCTGCTCAGGGGATATCGTGGCTGATCTTCATGGTACAATTAGCTGCCTTTTTGGTATTTGGGCAATCCCTATCCCGGTTCCTCTAGTCACCCGGTACAATAGACCTTTTTCCCATTGAAACCATTTATGTTCTAGGTCTCCCTGCGGTGTGTCTGCCTCCCTTCTATACCCACCTAGTGTGGGATCCTTTCTCTGTTCCTTTCCAAAATTATGTGGGGTGCCCTAGTAGAGGGCGGGTTGTATGGTCAGGGTCAGGGCATACCTCGGGTCCTACCTGAGATTCCTGAGAGTGAGAGGTTCTATCGTTCAGGCTTGCAATCAGGTGGTTATGGGTGGTGCTCTTTCGGTGTTTGGTGTGTAACAAATTGGGAAGTCAAGCACCCCAAATCATTTCTTAGCAACATAAGCCCTTCATAATTCCGACCTCCAAGGATTTGGACCCAGAACCCCATTCAGGATGGACTTGTGTGGTTGATAACTTGTGGATGGCTCCCCCAGCCACTCTAACTGCTATGGTGCACCCGGTACATAGGTATGGGTTCACCGGTATGATTGTACCAGGGTCAGCATAGCACCTGTGTCTCTCAGTCCCTTGGCCTCTTGTCCATTTAGTTTTACAATTTGTCCCCAGCAGCTTGTACTATATTCACTTCGTGGAGCACCAACCAGTGTTCCTCCGGGCAGCTGGGTGAGTTGCGAGTAGCGGATACCTAGGGCTCTTCCTGGTAACAATGGGCAGCTGCCTTCTGTCAGGATTACAAGTTGATCCAGCAAGCAGAATTGTGTCACATCTAGGACTAAGGATAACTTATAACTGGACCTTAGAATGGCCGGGCTTAACGTATCCAAGAATAGTCAAAATCCTTACCGTGGTCAGATACACAGAAGCAAACACAATGATGAGGGAAAGCCAAAAGTCAAGGATACCAGAATTCAGGGAAGTCAAAACAAAGCCAAAATCAAATACCAGAAAATCAAGATCAGGAACGCACTCTCGGATTACCATCAGGATGAAACCACAACAGGGCAATGAGCAAAAGGAGAATAGGGTTTAAATACCCCTCGTGTGGATCTGATTGGCCATAACTGGCATATGACCCCAAAAGCAATTACAAGGTTTCCATGTGCATGATTGCTTCTCAGCACAAACCCTCCTGTGGATCTGATTGGCCATAACCGGCCTGACCCCAAAAAGCAATTAACCAGGTTTCCATGTGCATGATTGCTGCTCGGCAGAACTTTTCCTGTCAGGACAGTAATGCTGTTTGGCACAACTTTTCCTGTCAGGACAGTAAATGCCATTAACCACATTTTTATTTGCGGATGAATATGTGACATCTTCACTGGCTGGGAAGATGGCCGATCCCACCCTCCTCGGCTGCAAAGGGGACAATTTATTTTAATGTGACCCAGTTGGTTGTACCCACGGTAGAGGGGTCTCATCTTCCTAAATGGTCCCATCATTGGTGGTGGCATAGATTGGTGGGACCGGTTCGGCGCTGAGCACATCTGGGTAAGTGTTTCGGTTGGTACTGTGACAGAACTGCTGCCTGTTCATGGGTTTTCAATCTCTTTTACATGTGTTCCCCCTGTATGTTCACTTATTGTGCCCGCTCCCCATTCGGGAGTGTTTCAACAAAGGAAATTCATTCCACCCCACTCCCTTTAGAATGTTAGGTTAGAATGTTCCCACCTCGCAACCTAACTGTCAAAAATGCAAACCGCATGGGAAACAATTAATGAGTGCTTCCCTGGGTGGCCTCCGTTTGTATAGGCGAATGCCACCAGGGGGAGCATTCGTGGTTTGTTTCCCGCCTCGTTCATTTCCTGAATGAGGGCCTCCTCGGTGCTCCATTAGAACATTCACACCAATTAATCAGAACGTTTGCACTCGCAACATAGGTGTGAAACCTCAAGGGAAGTAATTAATGAGTGCTTCCCTGGGTGGCCGCCGTTTGTATAGACACATGGCAAAACAAGAGGATAAATAACTTTATATGTAATAAACATTGGAGATTTAGACATACATAAATGGCCAAGATGTATGCAGCCCATCACTGCGCAAAACTACTCCAGTTGCAGTGGGTCCTAACTGCCTAGATTATGCATGACTAAAAGTACAACAATAAAACACACACAGTACTTAGGAGCAAAGGAATGAGACCACTGCTATCAGGGAACACTCTGAAACAAAAAGGATAAATGGCAAAGGAACGGATGTGGCAATAAAAAACAAACATTTAAAGGAATCTAGGAGACTGTGAATTCCAGGAACGGAATAAAGCAATGAACGCAGAAAACCCAGCATAAAGAAAACCAGACATAGAAAAGAAAACCAGAAAAAAAGAAGAAGAACTAAACAAGAATTGTAAAAAGAGAAAAAGAGTACTGGATATCAGAAGCCAAAGCCAGAAATGATCCGCAAACAGGAACAGGATGTGACAGACACATTAATTGTGCACTGAGACATTGAAGTTGAAGGTTTAAATAGGTGTATCTATGAACTTCAATAAGACTCTTAAAGTGATAGATTGGAAAGTGGAGTGAACCATTTAAAGTAACTATTACACACCGCCACCCCAAAGAGCTACCTCTGGAAGCTACGAGGTTTATAGGGGATAATTGGCGTGAAAAGCGTCCAACAACTCAGGGGTATGTATGTTAAAATGAGGAACCCATTGATTGTGTGAGTCATCATACCCTTTCCATTTGACAAGATATTCAAGTCTACGATAAAGAATTTTAGAATCCAATATCTCTTCAATTTTGTATTCCTTCTCATCATTCACAATATTAGGTTGAAGAGGAGGAATGGTAGGTGAAATATTATCAGAAAGATAGGTCTTTAAAAGGAATGAATGGAATACAGGATGAATTATTAGGTTTTGAGGAAGTTGAAGTTTAAATGACACTTCATTAATTTGTTTAAGGATTTCAAAAGGACCCAAAAGGTTGGGAGAATTGTTTTAGATGGAGTTTGAAGTTTGAGGAATTTCATAGAAAGAAGGACCTTGTCACCAATTCGGAAAGAAGGGTTATCTTTTCTTTTCAGGTCAGCAAAATGTTTATATCTTTCTTTTGAGAGTGAAAGATTTTCTTTTAATTTGATATGAGTTTCTTTGATGTTAGACAAGTAATTGGTTAAAACAGGAATTTTATCAAGATTAAATTATACAGGTAAGAATTTAGGGTTATAGCCATAATTGGAAAAGAAAATAGAGAATTTTGTAGATGTTTGAATTTTATTGTTGTATGAAAACTCAGCGACAGATAATAGGGAAGTCTAATTATCCTGGTGGTTAGTGGTGTAAATACAGAGATAGTGTTCCAAAATACTATTTAATCTCTCACTTTGCCCATTTGTTTGGGGATGAAAAGCATTTTTGTAAATTCTCTCCTGAAGAAAGTAGTAAATTGAACTCCCCTATCTGTAATAATCTCATCAGAAGACAGACATATTCCTCTATGAAGATTTTAGCAAGTGAAGATGCAGAGGGAACAGAAGGAAATGGAAGGAAATGAACCATCTTTGTGAGATGGTCTAAAATAGTAAGAATACAAGTATTACGCTACAATAAAGGGAGGTCAACAATAAAATCCATACCTATGGAACACCACGGACTAAGAGGAGTTGGGAGAGATTGTAATAGGCCAAAGGGAGGAATAGATGGTTTTTTCTTCTTTTGACACTCTTCACAAGTTTTTACATACTTTTCAATACTTTTGTTGGATTTGGGCCACCAGAAGTATAATTTACATAATTTAATTGTTTTATTGATACCTGGATGACCAGAAAGAGGTTTATCATGAATATAAGACATTATTTTCTTTCTTAAGGGGAGCGGTACGTATAAAAGATTACTTTTGTACCATCTTTTTTGTTTAATTGTAAATCAGGGGAAGGATCGTTGGGAGAATAGGAAGTGGCAATTCCTTCAGATAAAGAGGTCATTAAACCTATCATGGTATCAGAGTGGAAAATAACATCATAATTGGGAAATGGAGTAACTTTGTATATTCTGGATAAAGCATTAGCGTTACCATTTTTATTACCTGGACAGTAAGTGATATGAAAATCAAACCATTCAAAAAAAAAAAAGAGCCCACCGGGCTAATTTAGGATTTAACCTTTTTGCAAAACAGAGATATTCAAGGTTCTTATGGTATTTGAAAATAACAAAAGGAACAGAAGAACCCCAAAGTAAATATCTCCATTCTTCAAGATATATTTTTATGGATAGCAATTCTTTTTCTCAAACACTATAATTTCTTTCTGTGGGTGATAATTTTTCGGAAAGAAAAGATGTAGGATGTAAAGGAGAAGAAGAATTATCTTTTTGGGAGAGTACGGCTCCAATTGCAATTTATGAAGCATCTACTTCAAGGACATATTGGAGAGTAGGATTGGGTTGTTTAAGAATAGGGGCAGATATGAAACTTTTTTTTAATGATTCAAAAGAATCCTGTCCTTTACACCCCAATAAAATGGTTAATCTTGTTTAGTAAGGTTTCTTAGAGGAGAAACGATGTGAGATTTTTTTTAATACATTTTCTATAGAAATTGGAAAATCCAATAAAACGCTGAATCTCTTTTTTGGATTTAGGTTCGGGCCAATTTGTGATAGCTTCAATTTTGTTGGGATTCATACGAATAGAAGAATAGGCTATTATGTAGCCCAAAAAAGGAATTTCACTTTTTTCAAACAACTTATGATCTCTTAAGCGTTGGAGTACCTTTTTTATTTATTTGATATGAACCTCTTTATCTTGTGAAAATATAAGGATGTTGTCTAAATAAACAACCAAGAAATCACTAATAATATCACATATAACATTGTGGAAGGAAGCAGGAGCATTACAAAGGCCGAATGGCATCACTAAGTACTCAAAATGACCATACCTCGTTCTAAATGCTGTTTTCCATTCATCTCCGGCTCTTATACAGAGAAGGTTATAGGCTCCCCCGAGGTGTAGTTTGGTAAATATTTTAGCATTTTTGATTCTCTCCAAAATTTCAGAAATTAGTGGGAGAGGGTAATTTAATTGTCGATAATCGATTATTGGTCTGATGGTTCTGTCTTTATTGGTAACAAAGAAAAAAATAACTGCTCATGCAGGAGATGTAGAATGACGTATGAATCCTTTTGCTAAGTTAGTATCAAGGAAGTCATGGGGGTTTTAAAGTTCCGGTTCTGATATATATGACTAAAAGGAATTTTTAATCATTCCAATAAATCGATAGGACAATCATATAGTCTTGAAGGTGGTAATTTAGAAGCTTCTTTTTCACAAAAAATATCTTGAAATTCCAGGTAATGATCTGGAATGTTAAGGGTGATAGATCCCA